TTTCACAAACTAGTTTTGAACAGATACCGTAAACATTATGAGTTATAAAATATAAATTTTACTTTAATGATTATGAATTAATTTTTATAATTTTGATTAATTTATATTTAACACTTTTCGAGTTTTACTCGAACACTCAAACATTAAGGAGTTTTTCGTTGAAATTATCGATTAAGGGGCACAAAGGCTAAAAAGAGTGATTTTTGGGAATTTTTTATTAAAAAAATACTTTATCAATTATTTTTAAAATTTTAAGAATATATTTATACATGATTGAAGAATATACAGTGAAATTTTTGAAGAAAAAAATTTAATATTTTTTAAGTTTTAGTCGATCTCCAACGGCGCGAAAAAAGGTCCTTCACTGCTGTAGTGACTCCGGCCTTGTCCGTGCATGAAATCTAAAAAAAAATTCTCTACTAGATAATATTGTCTGTACAATGACCTACGATAAAAAAATTGACAATATGGCGGCGTTTTGAAAAAAATAGTCGAGTTTTACCCAAAATTTTCGTCGTTTTTGGCCTGCCAAATTTCGATTTTTTGATCAGATAAAAAAATGAATAGGTCATTGTACGGAGAACTATATATAGAGCTTGTAAAAAAATTTGATAGTGATGGGATTATTTGTTTTTGAGCAATCTCTGCAGCGAATTCGGAAAATGCTGTTTCGAGGAAAAAGCGTTTAAAGATAAAATCACTCGTAGCCAATGAGACTCTCTAGCTGCCGATCGGCTGACCTTTAAATTGCTATAATTCAAAAACTATTTGAGATATCTATTTGGAATTTCAATATGTTATTTTTAGATATGTAGTAACCGAAATATGAAATAAGTTTGAAAATGCACACTAGGTGTGCCCCTTAAACTTGGAAACCCTTTTCAACCATTCACTTTCCAAGATCACATTTCCACATTTCAAACAAAAAACCTTAAAAGTAATGATTATTATTTTCAGATCTGCAAAAAATACACAAGTGATACCCATCACATGAAATCGCTTCCTTTATAACTTTTAACTTATAACTACTTTTCCAAGTGTAAGCTTTTTTTTTCATTGAATAAAAATCTTTACAGCTCCTGCTTCTAACTATTTGTTGTTAATTGAACTTAGTTTATAGAAAGGTAGTTAAGAGTAAGCTCCAGCATCAGACGTTTTAATCAGAAGTTCCACCCCATTTTTCTATTCAGACGATTCGGTTCATTAAATTGCCCAGCGAAAGTAAAAAATAATTATTTCGTACCATATTTTCTGTTGTTTTCATAAGAATTTTATTTGCTCTGAGTTTATTTTCTGTCATACCTATTATCTTTATTTTCCGTTCTGTGCTGACAATCTCAGTCGTATCAGCTACATTTCCACTTAGCATCATTTATTCCAATGCCCGTGGCTAGCTAGTGAATGTAATGGATGCGTCATTAATTTAATTTTGCGCTATGTTTTTAACTTGATATCACATTTCTCTGGAGGGCGAAGTGCGTTCCGTAAAAAAAAAAAATGTGGCAATAAAGAAACGACTAAAAATGTTTATATAAATATGTGCTATTACAGATATACATATGTACATATAACTAAAATGATCTATGAATAACAAAGTGTTATAAAAAAGAAAGAATTAAATAAAAGAATAAAATAAAATAAAATAAAATAAAATAAAATAAAATAAAATATAAAATATTATAAAATAAAATAAAATAAAATAAATAAATTGAAATAAAATAAAATAAAGTGAAATATTAACATAAAATTAAAATAAATGAACCAATCAAAATATAAAAAATAAATTATAATAAAAAAAGAAACGAAACGAAACAAAAAAAGAACAAAATGAAATGTGATAAATAAAGCAATAAAACATAAAAAAAGAAAATTAAGCCAATAAAAAATAAAATTATTAATAATATGTGATAAAAAATAAAATAAAAAATAAAAATATAATTATAAAAACAGTTAATATTTCTAGTTGCGTTCGCCCCTCGGCAGGGAGTGTCAATCCCTCCGAGTGTATTTTTGAGATGAAATAAGCTCCTTATAAAAAAACCATCAGCCGTTCGGAAATAACATAAGTAAAATAAAAGATAACATCATACAAGAAATTAAAATATAATAAGCAAAACTATCAAAATAAGATAAAGAAAGGTTAAGCAATAAAAAAATTATATAAAGTAAAAATAAAATAAAAAAAGTAATAAAAAAATAGAAAAAAAATAAAATAACAAATAATAAAAAATAGTAAAAAATTAAAATAAAATATAGTTGAATAAAAATAAACTAAACTAAAAATAAAACATAAAATAGATATAATAAAATCCTTTTAGTTTTCATAGCTCAATGAATTTTTTAAAATGATATTTATATAAGTAGTGCCACTGTAGCCGTTATAAAGTTAGGCTTAAGCATCTTCCATGATTTACTTAGCTTAGTTTCTCTAATAGTAAATATATTCATATTTTTATGTATAAATTCTAGTATGTTTGTATGTAAGCACTTTCATTATATTTTTACTGCTTGACATTACTTAATTAATGCTAATTTAATTTACTCTTGCGTATGACTGGGCAAATGGAGTATCGCACTTGTTTCAGATGAACGTAGTTGGTTCGTTGAGTACTGTTTATTGCTTATACATATGTACATACATATAAGTAGGGAGATATGAGGACTATAGAGTCTTTTATAATTATATACACTATTGTATCTTTAATATTTCTTAATGAAAAACAATTGTAAAATCAGAGGTCAATGACTTTACTTATACATACCAATAAGACACTTTTTTATATTTCATTAAAGGAAATGTCTCATACAAATATATTTTTCATGTATCTTCTCGAGCACATTTACGATTTCCAAACTGTTGTAATGTTTTTAGAAGCCCATGAAACTCCTGACATATTCAATATCAAAATAAATTGTATATTTTTATAGCGCTACATGTTTTGAATTTTAAGTTGATTATAGTATATGTATGTATATATGTAGATACATATATTGAATGGAAGATATGAAATGTTGGGAATGTACTTTTAAACATGTGTATGGAAAACAATGACTGACTGCAGCTGAATAAATATGTTTGTTGATTTCAAATAACGTACCTGACTACATATATACAATAAAAACACAATTAAAATAAAAGTTTTGAGCTGCTAAATTTTCCCTTATTTGTTAAACGCGCAGCTGCTGAATAGTAATTAATATTTTTTATATTAATAAAAGTTTTTTTTAATAAATGTTAGAGAATTCTAAATCTAAAATAAGTACTTTTTTAAAAAATGTTTTTTTTTGTATCTTTTGCTTTTATATACATATAATATAATATTATCTCATATTACTTCCGTACAATGACACACACTTTGATACATATAATATGTACGAGTACGTACATAAAGATTAAAACGCTGCTGTTCGATTGATTTCTTATTATGATTTTGTATGCTTGCGGTCAATCACTTTTTATCATTGACGACAACAAAGCAAACGCGTTGCTGCTATTTATATGCTAATGGTGTCATTTAACTCACTTCCGACTGGCTTATGTTGCTATTAAATAATTAACATAGCTGATGCGCATTTAATTATTTTCATGCAAGCACTGTTACACATACACAAAAATATATATGTATATATTGAGTGCGCCAAAAAATAGACTTTAAAAAAGTAGCTCAAGGTGCATCCGTGTTAAAGAAATTAAAATTAAAACGTTGGATAAAAAATGTTTGTTGTCAATGTTAATTTAATTTTACATAATTTAATTTAACTTAATTTTATTAAATTTATTTCCTTTTGTTTTATGTTTTTTATTTTATTTCTTTTAGTTATTCTTATATTTATTTATTTTTTTTATTTTCAAAGTTATCTCGTTTTATTATATTATATATTATTTTGTTTCGTTTTTGGTTTATTTTTATTTTTTAATTATTTTTAATTCATTTAATTCAATTTGAATTTGTTTAGTATTATTTTATTTTAATTTGTTCTTTTTTTGTTTCATTGATTTTTTATATTATATAATTTTTAAATTTATTTGTTTTTAATTTAATTTAATTTTGTTTATTGCGTAATTTTTTTATTTTCCATATTTGATTTTATTTAATTGTATATAATTTTCGTTTATTTTGTGTGATTTTACTTATTAATTTTGTTTTATATTTATTTTATTTTTATTTTTATTTTTTTTTTAATTTTATTTTATTTAATTTAATTCAAATTTATTTTGTAGTAATTTATTTTATTTTTGTTTATAATATATTATTATTTAATTTTATTTTATAAGTTTTTGTTTTATTTAAACACATTTTATTTTATTTTAGTTTATATTATTTTATTTTTTCAATTCGTTTAATTTAATTCAGTTTTATTTTTTATTAATTTATTTTATTTCAGTTAATTTGGTTTTGTGTTTTGTTACATTTAATCCAAGTTTTATTTAATTCTTAATAAAAATATTATTTAATTTTATTTTATAAGTTTTTGTTTAACTTTAATACATTTTATTTTATTTTTACTTAAATTTGTATTTTATTAATTTGTTTTATTTTGTTATTTATTTTTTATTGTGTGAAATAAATAAAAATATGAATTTTCTTATATTTTATTTTTCATATTTCATATCATCGAGTATCAAATCTTATTTCATTTCATGTAATTTAACTATATAATTTTTTTTTTGTTTTAATTAAATTTATTATATTTTTTTTATGTTACTTGATTTCACTTTGTTTTTATTAAATTTTATTTCTTTTAGGTTAATTAAATTTTAATTTGTCTTCATATATTTTAATTCAATTTGTTTAGTTTTTTGTAACAAAAAACTTATGTTTTTTATATCGCTATAAAAACATTATTAATTATATTATTTATTTTATTTTATTCTATTTTTTTATTACTTTTATTTTAATTTAATTTTATTTGAATTTATTTATATTTAGTTACAGACTTAGATTTTCTCATTTATAACGGTTATGATAAACAAATGAATTTTGTATTTATCATTTTAGAAAACGATTCTGGATAGCATTGCAAAAGAGGATAGCAGTTTCACCGCTGATGGCTACACAAGTTTGGCTATTATTTACACAGCATTTTCGCTATGCAATTGGCTGGCGCCGTCCTTTATTTCATTTACCGGGCCAAGAGTGGCCATGTTGGTGGGCTCACTCACTTATACGTGAGTTTTTCAAGTTGATTTTCTACAAAGCTCATTTTATAATAATTTTTCCTTGCATCTTTTTCAGCTTATTCATGGTTACCTTTCTATTTCCCTCCAATTGGTTGCTCTACCTTATGAGCGGCGTTTTGGGCGCCGGTGCAGCCATTACATGGACCGGTCAGGGTAACTTTTTGGCACGCTGTAGTGATCTGTCATCCATATCGCGCAACTCGGGCATCTTCTGGGCCTTGTTGCAATGCAGCATGTTCTTCGGCAATATTTTCGTTTACTATCAATTCCAAGCTAAAGAGCATATAGATGCTGATACGCGCAATGTTGTTATTGGTGTGTTAACGGCTGTTGCCATATTGGGTATAGTGTTCCTAGCGGCGTTGCGGCCAATGCCGGACAATTCGGTGGGCACATCGGAGGCACAACGGCAGGAGCAACAAAATCGCACCGGCTGGGGTAGTGCTGTGTATGCGTTTAAATCAGCGGGCAAGCTCTTCATTACAAGGGATATGCTGTTGCTGAGCGTGGCGTTTCTTTATACGGGTAAGCAGAGTCACACAAGTGAAATTATTATTTTATTTATGTATACATAAATTTTTTTAAATTGTCTTATAGGCATGGAATTGTCCTTCTTCAGTGGCGTTTATGGCCCATCCATTGGCTTTACAAAGAAGATACACACCACACCCAAGGAAATTGTCGGTTTGGCGGGCATTTGCATTGGCGCTGGTGAAGTGTTTGGTGGCGGACTATTCGGTATACTCGCTAAGAAGACTACACGCTTTGGACGGGATCCCATTGTAATTGCCGGCTATGTCATCCATATGGTTGCCTTTTTCTTGATATTCCTTAATTTGCCCGATAATGCACCGTTCAAGGACACCGAGGATATTTCATATTTGGACCCACCACGTCCCTGGGTTGCTCTACTCTGTGCGTTTATGTTGGGATTAGGTGACGCGTGCATGAATACACAAATCTATTCGATGTTGGGCGGCGTTTATGTCAAGAACTCTGTGGGCGCTTTTGCGCTATTTAAATTTACGCAGGTTGGTATTGAGTTTACTTGAATTTTGGTTGTGATTATTAATTTATGTCTTATCTTAATTGTTTTTCAGTCCACTGCTGCGGCCATAAGCTTCTTCTATTCATCACATCTCGGTTTGCGTGCTCAGCTGGGAATTTTGGTAGTATTCGGCACACTAGGCACTGCCTGTTTCTGTATTGTTGAATGGGCGGTGAAACGGCGACAACGCGAATCGCCGGAAGACTCTCGAACTGTTTCGCAGGACTCTCGCTCAGTATCGTATGACAAATAAAATATTTAATTTTATTATTTTGATAGAAGACAAGCTCCTAAACTCCTGAATTATATGTGGCATATGCGACCTGATCTGACAACAACAATTTTGAAGCTGAAATAAAAAGTTTAAAGGTATACATACATCATATTATATAAAAATTATTGTAATCAGAGTTCAATATTTTGTATTCTACAATAAGGAGTTTATAAAGGTAACATCACATAACGGTATAAATTAATGTTGCGACACACAAATGTACGAGTATATTGAATGTATATAAAGAATATATTTATAATTATTATGTATATGTATGTGTGTGTTTTTAATTTAGGTAGTATTTGGTCTTCCGGGACAATAATTAATGTCAAACTAAAATACAAATTAAAAGTTAAAAAAAAGCAAATACAAAATGATATTGTTACATCGTAATTCACTAGCGTAAACATTTATTTAACGCAATTTTTTATGCGTTAAATAATAATATTGCAATATTTTCTTATTTGTTATAACGCCAAACTGTATATTGTTTGTTTAAGACATGAGTTTTTATATTATATATATGTATATGGATACAATATTTTATAAAAAAAGAAACGTTGACTATATGTATTACGAAAAATCCTGTTTGAATTTAGATATATGTAAATGTAAGTAATGTTTGTAATTGTTGTATATACATGCATATTATTATATAAATATGTAATAAAATTTGTTAGATCTTAAATAACAAACAATGAAATATAGTTTTCATTCGATATAACCGTTTTACATTTATTAATAATTGTTGTTTTTATTGTTGTGAAGCATTGGTGTTTAAAAAATAAGTTAAAAATATTGTCTATTATTATAGAATATTATTCCAACTCTTCCCCTTTATTAAAGGTGTAGCCACCGTTTACGCGATTTTAGGCGGTAGTATCAAGCACAGCCAAACCGATCTCAATCTTGTCATTCCAACCTAGTGGAGCTCTTATTCTTCCCCTGATTTCACTGGCAGATACTTCAACGAAAACCTTTAAAGCTGGAGTATATTTAATCATCCGGACCACATGGCCTAGCCAGCGTACCCGCTGTCTCTTAATGCCCTGAATGTTGTCACTGTCGTCGTATATCTCGTACCCTCGGCTTAGGTATTCGCTGCTGCCAACTCGTAGAGGACCAGAATTTTTATCCAAATTTTTGTTTTCTTAAAACTCCCAGCTCCCAGTCATCAGATGTTGTCATCATCCATACATCCATATTACATAGCCAGACGATAATGATGAGGTACTTGCAAAACTTGATGTTTGTTCGTCACCCGTTTGCATATTCAGTGCTGATATTGTTATTGGTGTTAATTATACAAAGTTATTGCGACTGTCTTTGTTTGATGATGATGAGAGGAAATATTACATCTTACATTCGTTTACTACCAGATCCTTACGCCTCGCTTTCTTAGCCAGTCTGGAGAAGGTAGAACTCACGGGGCGCTTGCTGAAACTGATTCTGTCAATATCACTGTTATTTAAGATTGCACCTTCGATATTCAGCACTGCGGCTCGTATTATTTTCGCCAACATTAAATTAAAGAGCTCACCCGAAAAGAAGGCAACTTGTATGAGAGCTTTTACCCGATATTGACGGAGCTTTGTATAACATCAGTTTACACAGCCGAATAAGTTTTGCCGGCATACCAAGTTCAGATATACTGTCGTAGAGGCAGTTGCTTATGGGCTTCAAATCGATAAGAGTTGTTTGTTTATCCTGACGGGTCTTTTTCAAGATTTGGCGCACTGTAAACCATGGATTTTCCACATTTAACGCACCATTGATAGGGTACAATCAGCTAATTTTTCTGAAGGGAAAAGTTGCTATAAAAAATGTCCAGCCATTGACGGATTTAGGTCTACTTGAATGAAAAAGGCATTAGGGGTTTGGCTGCCGCGGTAGCCGAGTGGTTAGCACTGCGTACTGCCACTTGGAAGACTCGGGTTCAAATCCTGGTGTCGTACTAACATCCAAAAATTTAATTTAATTTAAATTAATATTTAAGTTAAATTTTTTAATTGCAGTCGCCCCTCGGCAGCGAATGTCAACCCCTCCGAGTGTATTTCTGTCATGAAATAAAGCTCCTCAAGATACAAAAACCACAAATTGGAGGAGGAGCTCGGCCGAAAAATCACTTCAGGGGTTACAAAGCGCCAATTATATTCTGATTGGGGACATACTTTTCGGGGGCAGTTCTGCTTCGAACAAATGTCTGCAAGATTATTACTTTATCCTGCCCGTCAACTAGATGCACCGAGTACCACAATATAACCATTCGGCGATTTACAAACAGACATTAAGCGCCATTAGAGACGAAGGGCCCGAACTGCTTCCTGAGCTGCATGTGCTCTTGACACATTTAAGGTGTGGATATAGTATTGATTTAAGAAGTTTAAGCTAATGGAGAGCTTGATACATCAAAATAGATTGTTATTGAAAACTTCTAAGCGAATGAGGGTCTTCAAAATTTAAAAAATAAAAATACAGAAGAAGGGAAGGTTCGATAGGGTTAACAAAGTGGAGTAGGGGATACATTGACTTTCTGTAAGCATTAAATTCAATTCAATCAGTCAGCACAAAGGTTATATCTTTTCAGGTCCATGTCAGTGGGACTGATAGCAATACATAAAATTTTTTCCCTCCAAGAGCAAATTCAAAGTTCATCTTCCAAGAGCCTAATGGAATGAAAAAGAAATGAAGTTCGAAAAGTAAACTTTTCATTTTGGGTACAAAGGTACCCGGTTGTTCCTTTACAGCTTTAACAGTGATGAGGGATCACCGCTTCCGAAGGCCTCCACAACATCTTATGAGCATGTGTTGGAGACCAATTCATTTTAAGTGAAATAAACCAAACAAACAATTAAATAAACAACAACATCATCATTTTTTGTTATTCGTCAACTGAATGCGTTCGTCGGGGAATACTCCACCGTATTCATATGTTTTACGCCAAATATTAGATATTTCAAAAATTTATACTTATTTTATAAAAAACGTTAAGTGTACTAAAAAAGGGGACCCCACAGTCTGCGCCAATTACCGTGAGATAAGCCTTCTTAGTATCGCCTATAAGGTCCTATCGAACGCATTGTGTGAAAGACTGAAGCAAACTGATTGAACCCTATCTGCGTGGCTCTTAACCTGGTAAATCCGTCATAAATCAGATATTCATAATGCGACAAATCTTGGAAAAGACCCGTGAAAGGAGGATCGACACCCACCACCTCTTCATCGATTTTAAAGCCGTTTTCGACAGCACGAAAAGGAACTGTTTTGTGCCGCTATGTCTGAATTTGGTATCCCCGTAAAACTTATACAGCTGTGTAAGCTGACACTAGACAACACCAAAAGCGCAGTCAGGATTGGGAAGGATATCTTTGAGCAGTGCGATACCAAACGAAGTTTCAGACAGGGTGCCTCTTTGCCGAGTGATTTCTTCAATTTAATGCTGGAGAGAATAATAAGAGTTGCAGAGCTGAATAGAGAATGTACAATCTTCTATAAGAGTGTACAACTACTAGCGAACGCCGATGATATTGACATTATCGGCCTCAAAAACCGCGACGTTAGTTCTGCTTTCTCTAGGCTTGATAGAGAAGCGAAACGAATGGGTCTGGTAGTGAACGAGCACAAGACAAAATATCTCCTGTCATCAAACAAGCAGTCATCGCATTCGCGACTTGGCTTCCATGTCACTGTTGACAATCATAACTTTGAAGTCGTAGATAATTTCGTCTATCTAGGAACCAGCATAAACACCAATTATAACGTCAGCCTTGAAATCCAGCGCAGAATCACTCTTGCCAACAGGAGCTACTTCGGACTGAGTAGGCAATTGAAAAGTAAAGTCCTCTCCCGTCTAACGAAAACCAAACTCTACAAGTCCCTGGTCGTTCCCGTCCTACTATATGGTGCAGTAGCATGGACGATGACAGCATCTGATGAGACGGCGTTAGGAGTTTTCGAGATAAAGGTTTTGCATAAGATTTATGGTCCTTTGCGCGTTGGCAACGGCGAGTACCACAGACGATGGAACGATGAGCTGTACGAGTTATACGGCGAGTGACAAAGTTCAGCAAACCAACAAGCAGCGGCTACGCTGACTAGATCTTTTGATCGGATCGAGTTGAAATGAATTATGTAGACTGTACAATAGAACCCAATGTAAATTAAACCTAGATTTGATATTATTATTCCCACTATATCCGATGTACTCGTATCAGTTATTCTAATCGGATATTCCACTGCACTGTCCACTTCCTTCCGCTGCAATTGGTATAACTCCGTTATGTCAGACATTTTGCTTGCGCCAAAACTACCAGCAGTGGCAGCACTAACAGCAAAACAGCTGCTGCGCAGGGTTGCACCAACTGGTCGAAACCATCGCTTGTGCTGGTGTGCGTATGTACGATTTGAGTGATTTTCATAAGGTGATTTCCAAAGGCATTGTTTGTGTGATTCAGTTAAACATTAGTTGAGTGCTAATTCGCTGCTGGTGATGTTCATAATAAACGTTGCGGGTGATTTCCGTCTCCAAAGGGCTCTGCATTGGCATTTCTTTGCAGCCACTAAATTGAAAAGATAAAAAAAAAATGTATTTCCAAATCTTTTTGATGTTTTTAAGTGTTGTATAAAAAGTGAAAAAACGAGAAAAGCAAAACGAATTCCATTAATGTGTATTAAGAGAAATAATTATTATTTTTTATGTGTTTTCATTTTGTTGTTTTTGCGGATTATTACAATACATATTCATCTGCAACTGTAGCTGGAAGTGTGCAAAGGCAAACAAATCAATTAGCACACTCGATGCACAACGAGATACGTTAAATATATAATATAAATACATATTTATGTATTTCTGCGTGCGTATTGTATAATATATATTATATATAAAAAAGTACAAAGCAAAGTGTTGAAGATTTATGCGAATATCTGTGGAAAACGAGAATTATAAACAGCAATTACTTGCCAAGTGTTTTAATATTTTTTGTTGTTTGTTTTTTGTTTTCTATTATTGTTTTTATTATTCACTCGAGAATCGCTGCAGTTGTAAAGCGTAAAATTCCGTTTTGTATTTGGCAAAAAGTGACTCAAGTTGTATTGTATCGGAAAGTGTTTGCCATTGCTGAATGGAATTTCAATTGGCTGCTGCTGCCGCCGCCGCCGCTACAGCTGTATCTAACAGTGACAGATAAACGGCCATCAGGTAGGAGACCTTGGTCATACTAATTCTGGCTGTGGTTTTTTGTCGTGCAAAGAAATTCAATAAAAGTGTGTGGGGGGCTCAAAGAAATCGTTGATAATTATAATTGATTGACTTAAGTTCACACTCAAATGCAGTTATTTATTGATTCTTCTACTGTTACTCACAAGCTTCTTATTTCCCTGAGTGAGCGATTAAAAATTCAGCGAATGCTAAGCGAAACACAAAACTTGCATCGATTTATACCGTCTTAACTTGTTTTTCATTATTTATGCGAAAATTGTGCTCAATTAATAAGTGGTTGTCAAACGTTAGTTGACATATGCGCGTACATACGTATGTACATACATATTGAGGATTATGTGCTTTTAGATTCTTTTAAACATCTATGTATGCATATAAAATATAAATATACACTAAATATATGTACGTCTACATATTTGACTATTTTGTATATTTGTTGCTTTT